AATTTGCATAGTCGCACTGATTGGCTGGTGGGTGTAGCAGAGTGGCAGAGTGATGGAGTGATGGTTAATTTGCATGTTTCTCTTTTATTAGTGATTTACTAGTAGCCCTGCACATGAATCGTGCGTCAGTAGCTAGCCAGTAGCTCGCTGCCGACCTCCAGTAGCTCCCCGCCCTCCTCTAGCTCCCTGCCTTCCCCCCATAGCTTGCTGCCCTGCTCCCTCCTGTAGCCCTCCACCAACCGCTTGTAGCCTGCTGCCCCACCCTCCTGCTGATCCATGATCCGGTCGTTTCGCAGTTGGTCATTACGACCATTGGCATATTACATCTTTATTATATAGGATAAATAATAATACATTAACTCAATAGTTTAAACTTGCACATAACACAACAAATGTATATAAAAAACATTAATGCTTGGTGTTTCATTACATCTAAAATATTAGCACGCCATAGCCAAGGCTGCTTTTTAAAATAGAACATAATGTTCTCAATTAAAGACACATGCTGGCTGTTTTTATCCTCTCTTCTCTTTTCTGTTTTCTCTCTTTACTTGCCTATCCAACATAGTCCTTCCTTTATACTGGGCTCCTTCTATGGACCCTACTACACCCAATATCTATTTAAAGAACTCCCTCCACTTATCAGTCTTAACTGAGATCTGTCTTTACATGGAGTACATTGCCAGAACTTTAGTGTCCTATACACCTGGCAGCTACGGGAAATTAGAAGACACACCCTGGGGGTACACGTAGCTCCCGTGGGGACACCCTGGACAGGACTGGTGCTTTTATGGATCCCCTTCATCTGGGATAACAAAGTCCTGTGACTTAGTGTAGAAAGTGGACTCTGGACTCAGTTTCAGCCTCCTTGCTACTGCACAGCTGCAGTCCTGGGATACGGTTTTGTTTGCAATTCTTGGAGTGGATATTAACTCATTTCCTCATGCTATTGGTATCATAGGACTAGGAGTCTGCAGATGAGTGTCAGTCCGTGAACTGTTTGTGGTCTGTCTCCACAAGGACACAAGGACAGATACTGAAGCAATTATAGCAATTTTTTTAAAAATATATCTTATTGATTTTTACAGAGAGGAAGGGAGAGAGATAGAGAGTCAGAAACATCGATGAGAGAGAAACATCGATCAGCTGCCTCCTGCACATCTCCCACTGGGGATGTGCCCGCAACCCAGGCACATGCCCTTCACCGGAATCGAACCTGGGACCTTTCAGTCCGCAGGCCGACGCTCAATCCAGTGAGCCAAACCGGTTTCGGCAATTATAGCAATTTGACAGAGAAATCTATGTCTGTGGAACCTACTAATTTTTAAAAAGTGGGTATTTTTTATCTTTTTTCATTTCGTTTCTCTAGTAATTCAATTTTAACTCTATTGTAATTTACAGAGCCACGTGGCCCCATTTTAAGTGTCCATTTAAACAAGTGTTGGCAAATTGTCCACCTATGTAATACAGAGCAAAATGTAGGATATGCTCATCAACTCTCACATTTTTCTTGTGCTCAGTCTTTGTTTCTGCTGAGTGGTACTTCCACTGCATATTCTGCATTTGTTTATACAGTCACCTGTTGAAAGACATTTGTTTATATTTGGGGGCCTTTATGAATAAAACCACTATAAGTATTAGTGTTCAGGTCTTGCAGTGGATTTATGTTTTATTTCTCTTAGGTCAATGCCTAGGATTAGAACTGCTAGGTTGTGACAAAAATGTGTTAAACTATTTCAAAGTAGTGTGCTATTTTACATTTTCACCAGCTATTTGCCTGATGTTCATTTGTCACCACCAACACTTAGTGTGGTGAGACTTTTAGCTTTCAGCAGTTATAATGGGTAGTGATACTGAACTGTGATTTTATTTCCTGATGACTAATAATGCTGAACTTTTTATATGCTTATTGGCTATTTTATATATTTTTGGAAGTGTCTGATCTTTCGGCCATGTTATTGCATTTTCTTGTTAAGAAAAGGGTTCCATATATATTTTGTCTATTTACCTCCCATTTGCCCTCTCTTCCACCTCCACCCCATGCCCCTGCCACAATTACACTATTGTGTACGTCCATGAGTTTTTTTTCTTGTATTTTTAAAATAAGAACTTTGCAAAACATATGCATTGCAAGTATTTGTTCCAAAACCATGTTTCACTTTAAAGTTTCAAAAAACAAAGGTTTTTAAAAATGCTGTAGTGTATTTTACTGCTATCTCTGGACTTCGTTTTTTTGTCTTATCTAAAAAAAAAACTTTGCTACCCGACACTCATGAAAATGTTCTTGTTTTACTTCTGTAAGTTTTAGAGTTTTTCCTTTTTAGGTTGATGATCCATTTTTTTATCCATCTTATTTTTATATGTCATATGAGGTAAGGATTGAGGTTCATTTTTCTCCATAAATATATCCAGTTGTTCTAACATTGAAGACTATCCTTTAGCCCTGGCCAGTTTGGCGCGATGGATAGAGCATCGGCCTGCGAACTGAAGGGTCCCAGGTTCAATTCTGGTCAAGGGGAAGTGCCCGGGTTGCGGGCTTGGTCCCCAGTGGGGGCCATGCAGAAGGCAGCCAATCAGTGACTCTCTCATCATTGATGTTTCTATCTCTTCCTCCCTCTCCCTTCCTCTCTTAAATCAATAAAGAGATTTTTTTTTTTAAAAAAAGGACTATCCTTTAAACTATTGAATTGTCTACCTTTATTTCAATACCACATCTTAGTTACTTTAGCTTTAAATAGCAAAGCTTTATATAGTGTAAATTCTCTAATTTTTCTTTTCCAAATTGTTTTGGCTATTCTGGGTCACTTGAATTTACACATAAATTTGACACATAAATTGTTTACAAGAAAGACTGCCAGAATTTTTACTTGAATTCCATTATTTATACATCAACTTAGGGATAATTAACATTTATAAAAGTGAGTCTTCCAATTCACAATTATGGTATATCTCCATCCACTGAGATTTTCTTTCATTTCTTACCAATTTCTGTTTTTATTGTACAAGTCTTGTACAAATTTTGTTATATTTGTCCCTAAGTATTTCATGTTTTCTAATTGTACTGTGATAGCTTTTACATTTCAATTACCAATTATATGTTGCTAGCATGTAGAAATAAAACTGAATTGTGTCTATCGACCATGGACCTTACCTTACTTACTTAACAATTCTAGTAGTTTATCTATTTTTTAGGATTTTCAATGTTTGTCTCCTGCAGAGTTTAATTTCTTACAATATGCATACTTTGTCTACTTATTTCATAGGTTGGATCTTCAGTACAGTACTAAATAGAAATGGTGACAGCAGATATCTTGTTGCCTTCCCCAAATCTTAGGAGAAAAACAAACCATTGTGTATGTTAACTGTAGGTTTTTCAGATACTCCCTGTCAAGTTCCCTTCTAATTCTGGTTTGCTCAGTTTTTATCATAAATGGATACTGAATTTTATTTTACACATTTTCTGCACCTATTCAGATGAATGACCATGTCTCCCCACCCCATGTTGTTAATTTGGTCAATTACATTTTTTTTTAAATTCTAGTGATTCATATTTAAAAACAAATTTGTGGTAAAATACACATAACATACAATTACCATTTTAACCATGCTTAAGTGTACCTACCCATTAGTATCATTAAGTACATTTATTACTGTGCAACCAATCTCCACAACTTTTTCATCTTGCATAATTGAAACTCTGTATCCATTAAACAACTCCCCATTTCCTTCTGCCCCTTTTAATTCAATTTTTTTTAAAATATATATTTTTATTGACTTCAGAGAGGAAGGGAGAGGGATAGATAGAAACATCAATGATGAGAGAGAAATCATTGATCAGCTGCCTCCTGCAGAGCCCTACTAGGTAGGGATCGAGCCCGCAACCGGAGCATGTGCCCTTGACCAGAATTGAACCCAGGACTCTTCAGTCCGCAGACTGACACTCTGTCCACTGAGCCAACCCAGTTAGGGCTCTTTTTTTTTTTTATTTTACGAAAATTTCAGTCTGTGACCAGTTGGAAATAAAAAGGTTGTCCTTCACCTCAGAAAGCTTTATATGCCATGTTCTAAGTCAGGCAGCTTACTAGTAATAAAAAGAAAACATCTTTTTATTTTAAATCTTTATTGTTGAAAATATTACATATGTCCCCTTTTTCCCATTGACCCCTTATAGCCCAGCCCACCCCCCTGCCCAGGCCTTCATCACACTATTGTCTGTGTCCATGGGTTATGCATAAGAAAGCATGTTAAACATGTTCTTGACTTGCAAATTCAGGTTTAAAGTCCCACCAAATATATATATATATATATTATCAGTGTTTGGGGAGAACAAATATACATCACTTCAAACTAGGTAAAATTAGACTGTGTTTTTAAAGCAACTTATTTCACTCAGACGGATTTCTTTTTCAGGTATGCCGAAGTCTTGACAACTGCTTGGCCATAAACAAGAGCACAAGCCATTTGCTCCTGTCCTCTGATTCCTCTACACTTCAGTCCTGGCTGAAGCATCCTGCTGTCACTCAGCCAACATGGACAAGTGATTTTTTTTAATAAAAAAAAAATAGACTTCACTAAGAATTTCTAGTTTAATAATCATTGGCTCGCCTTTTGACATACTCAGTCTTAACATTTCTTCAGTTACTCTACAACGGTTTGGCTTTGGCTTTGTGGATGGGGTTTCATTCATTCATGCATGCATGCATTCATTAATTCATTTTAAAGACTAAACTCTATCACTCAATTTTAGTTCATGACATCTGTTCTTCACAAATTGAGGGTTTTAAAGTATGTGAGAATGATATATACATCAGGTGTGAACTGTCATATTTTCATCCAACCAAATATCCCTATAACTTGAGACTGTTTGCAGGAATAAAACTTCTAACACAGAAATATAATGTATAATAGTTTTATTTTTCTCATTTTACTATTTTTACATTTTATGCACAAATATTTTTATCTGAGTAAAAATAGAAAATAACTGTTTTATGTAAAATTACAAAAAAAATAAAAACCACAAAGAAATACATAATTGTTATTATGACAGTATAAGTGTCTTTATTTAAAGAGTAAAAATGTATGCAAAAACCCTCCTCCCTTTTACAAAAAATTGAGAATTTTTTTTTTCTGGCAGCAAGTGAAATATCACTAAATATCAATATTATTACACTTCCTAGATATGAAGACATTTAGTCAGTCACAGGTTGTTTTGCAATTATGAATTTAAAAACATTTTTGTGCTATTTCAAAGATACACTAGTTCTTTTTTAAAGGCAGTAGCATAAAATGATGAATATGGAAAATAGCAGACCTTGCTGTAAATATCTGGAGGTACAAATCTTTAAAGAAATATCATACTTGAGTTTCACCATTCGTCAGGGGAGAAAAACAACTAAACAAATTTTCCTAATTAACTGACATAGACTGATACAAAATGAATATAATTAGTTGATTCATGTGAAGATCAACCACACAGAGCAATTCTGCCTCATTTGATTTTCTGATGCCAACACAAATCTCTAAGCTTCAGGCTAGTTCTATACCTATAAAGTTGGCTCAGTGAGAACCTCATGTGGAAAACAAGTTTTAAAACGAAAGTGAACATTTCATTATTCTTGTACTTAAGGTATAAAAGATGACCAATAATTTTATCTTTCTTCCTTTAAATATTTTGTAAATTCTCCTATGAAAAATTCATACATAAAAACATAACAAAGAATGAATAGTGTGAATTATATTTTCTTGCATAATCTTTCAATATGGGAAAACTCTACCTGACTTTCTGTAACCTCAATAAGGACAGTGAAAATCGTTTACCGTAACTTGACACAAAGTAACAGAAATTTCTTGAATCAATTGGGGGTATGATGCATAAAATGATAAGAGGCAACGGAGAAAAAAGAAAAGGGCGTGATCATGGATGAGAAATGTCTCTGTTCAAATTATAATGAGCAATAAAAACCTATAAAAAAATGGAGAACGTGTTATTGTTTTTAAGCATCTGAGAAATGCTACAGAAGAAATAATAATTTGACTTTAGGGATCTAAAGAAATGTGAGTGTTCCTTGCTTTAAAAAAATAAAAAATGTATACACACACACCTATAACTGAGATATAAAGGAAGTCTGCCATCCTGGCTAAAAGGTTAACATAATGTCACCTTAAAAGCATTTCAAAAGTCAAGTATTTTAAGCTCTTGAAAATATATCAGAATAGTGTAATTTTTTTAGAACTATAATGGATTTGTCAATTCCCTAGGTTAGTGGTCGGCAAACTCATTAGTCAACAGAGCCAAATATCAACAGTACAATGATTTAAATTTCTTTTGAGAGCCAAATTTTTTAAACTTAAACTACATAGGTAGGTACATTGTTATTAACTTAATTAGGGTACTCCTAAGGCTTAGGAAGAGCCACACTCAAGGGGCCAAAGAGCCACATGTGGCTCTCGAGCCGCAGTTTGCCAACCACGACCCTAGGCCATAAAACCTTATTTTTAGCTATTGGTTATCTGAAAGTAGAGCTTTTGTTATTATTTCTTATTGCTAGTCTACTCAGATATTCTTGCAACCACTGCACCCAATATATACTAATAATTTGTCAGTCAATTTTGTGTGTGTTTATAAAATGGTAACAGTGGGATGTTACAAACTTTATTTTTTTTTTAGGTGTGTACTGCAGAGTCTTAAAGAACTTAATACAGTCATATAAATAGACCGACATTATACTTTGTAGCCCTATAGCACAGCACTGAAAATTATGATTTGAGGTTATCAGACAAGGAGATCATAGACCTCTCCTCTCCTCCTTGTTCCTAAGAGCCCTGTCTCCTGTGGTTCATTCCAAATGCTATTTCGTATATTGATGGCAGCAACTGCTAGCAATGCCATGTTGCCTATCTTACCATGGCCCTTTCCTCCTGGTTAGTCAAAAGCATTAACCAACCCTTATAAAGCTGTTTAGAGGGATGAATTTAAAGTAAATGATGAGGGAGAAGGTGCATAAAGTAATATTTGAGAATAAATCTTCTGCTATAAGAGGATTAGGAGTTATTTGCCAGTATCTCACATCAGGATTTGTACATAATACCTTAAAACAAACAACAAAACAAAAGATAGCAAAGAGAGCGAGCAAGCAAACAAAAAAGATACATATTTCTAGCCACTTCTGCTTAGTGTTAGCTTTGTGGTAAGTAAAGAGTTTCATATATAAAAGAATTATTTAATTTTTTAAGATTAAAAAAATGAGTTATTACCTTTTGAAATATCTTTCCTTCTGAACATTATGTCTTCATATATGTGTATACCTGTATTTATAGGAAATGGTAAAGTGGACATGTATACAGATATCTGTATACTCAGATATATAAATATTCAAAAGGAGAAAATTAAATAAATGGACAATTTTGCTTTAAGAGAAAACTGCCTGTACTGGAGGTAAAATTTTCTTTTTAAACTATTTGCAAATAATTTCCTAATATCTTGAAAGGTGAAGTACTGATGACTGATTTAAAGTCTTCATTTCATCAGAAACACAATGACCATGTAAGTAAGCTGCTCTGCATAATAAATCAGCATGAAAGAGTAATTTAAAAAAAAAGAGAGAGAGAGAGAGAGAGAGAGAGAGAGAGAAGCCAAACCAATTTTCTGGCTGAGGTATTCCTTCTCGGTTTTTTAGATCTCTGACAGAAAAACAGAGATCATTTCAAAATTTTTGTAATAGTTGGTTTATTAGATTCAATGCCTCTCTTAGAATAATTTAAATTCTTGACCTGACATTATGAATCTATACAGAAACCTGAGCCAGATTTAAACCTGGGTCTCCCTCTTCAGCACTGCTCTTCTGCCAGTTGACTTCTTTGTCCTTTGCTTGCAAATATATAAATTACTTTAATAACTTGATACTATTAGTTTAGTAATTTATTAATATTATACTTTTATTTGATATGACTAGTTTAGCTCTGCCTGATTAGATGAAACAGGCACACATGCTTTAGCTGTTAAAGTCCCATTTTCTGGTTTTATGTAAAGCAACATCTAAAGCAGCAGAGAGGGTAAACAGTTATACTTTCAAAAATAGTTAAGCCAGACTGTTTCCTGAAGATACTTCATTTATTTTTCATCCTCAGATGCTGCTGGCTATTTTTGGTAGGGCTAGACATTAATACTGACCAGTTTAGCTTTCCTGACTGTTAACAAACTACCCACAATGAACCTGCCTTCATCCTGAAGCCATTGTGGTGATCCTGTAACATACTTATATTCTAAAATATATGCTCAAAGTAAAAAGATCCAAATTCACAAGAGTATGAAATATTTATAAAAAAAATCATGCATTAGACTGTACAGTCTAGAAATAAAGGAAGATTCAAATTCAGTAATAAAGGTGAGAGCAATGCGTGCTCTCAGAGTTAAGAAAGACCTTGAAATCCCAGCAGGTCCTGGGCTCAGTTATCCTTTTCTGCTTGCAGAGAAGCTGCAGCCAGGGCGACTGCCGTGACAGGCTGGGCGATTCCATGGAGCTGCATCTTTGCAAGTTTCTTCTGTTCACACTCTGTGACCAAACGGTTCAACTCTGCCGCACTGTATCCAATAAGAGTCTTCAAGTCACAGACAAACTTGTACACAAATCTCTTGCCCTGAACTTTACAAATCATGTCTCCATCATAATAATACCTTTAAAAAGAGAAAAACACATCAGTACTATATAAAAAAGAGAGTTTGGGCTTTGCACAGTATTTCATACTCTTCCATACGCAGAAGACTAAGAGAATACTGCATCTATCATAACAGAAGTTAACATGGAAGTTATATAGAAATATTTAATGTTACTATGCAAGGAAACTTCAAAACATTACTTACTAAAATTTCAATGCTCAGCACTCCAAAACTTTACATACTACATTTTCAAAGCATGTTTTCCACAATTAGGATAAAACACTGATTTAAAAGGAAACATTATTAAATAAAACAAAAAACTTTGGGAGCAGTAACAGAACCTATGGACAGGGGCTTAGAATCAGAATGCTGAGATTTGAAATCTAGCATCTTATAATTTCCTTTGTGACCAGAAGAAAGCCACATTTTCTCTAAGTTTTTATTCCTCTTCTATAAAATAAGATTTTAAACAGTACTTACCCTCATAGAACTGTTGAAGATTAAAAGGATTACCTTTGCAAAGTGCCTAAGCATACAATAACTAGCACATAATCCTCTATAAAATATAAGCTATGTTAACAATTAAGAATCCATATAATGCGAAGAAATTTTTAATATATTCTATGGATTGTTGGAATGTCCACACTTCTTTTCTGTCTTGTACAAAACCCTATATTGTGTAACCATGCCTTCAGTTAATATGTAAAGACTTTCCTTTCTGAGAAATTCACCAAACCCAATAGGGAACCTCAAAAGAATAAGTAAAAAAGAAAAAAAGTATAAGTAAACAGGATAGAAGAAACAACACAGAAAAACGGGAAGTACATCATTAAGAAACAATGCTTCAAAGCCTTGGGGAAATCACTCCAGAACAGTGATTTTCAACCCTTTTCATCTCATGGAACACATAAATTACTAAAATTCTGAGGCACACCAAAAAGTATGTTTTACCATTATGACAAAAAAAAGTTATAATTTTGATTCAGTCACACCAAACGGCTATTGTGTTGGCTGTTGTCATTTTTTATTTGACAATCTAAGGGAAAAGAGGTCAGTGCCCCTGACTAAATAGGTATAGCATAAAAATTCTTGCGGCACACTGGTTGAAAACCACTGCTCTAGAAGTCTAGTTTATTGCTGCTTTCTATGGAGATGGAAATAGAACAGAATTTATATTTAACTCGGAAAACAGACTTTATTTACCACTATGCCCTGCCAATTCCAATTCCAATAAAGGAGGGTTGGGGGGGGGGGGCGTCCTAAGTGAATACTTGTGGGCCGGCAGACTGTGAAGCCTTTGTGTTAAAATTATACTGACTATTTGCACCCATTTGACAAAAGTTGTTAGTAAATTACAAAAGGAACATTTGCAAAAGTACCAATGGTATAAACTACCATATTTAGCAGGATTTTATTATAAAAGTCACTCCATTTAATTGAGTCCATTAATGAAATGACTGACCTAAACACAGGAAATCATGTCATCTTTCCCTAAATGCAGAAGAGCAAAAACAGAATAGTCATGTTCACTTCCCCCCAGTAAGATATATAACATTGGCTATAATCTTGTGTTTCCTTTTGTGTCAATTACGTTAATACATAATTTAGATCTCAGTCTACAAACCACCAAATGCTTGGCATCCAGTTTAAAATGCTACTGGCATTTCAATTTCTTAAGGAAATCCTATATAATAAAAGCATAGTATGCAAATTGTCCCCTCGACCGGGAGGTCATCCGAAAGTTCAACCAGGGGATGGGGCCGGCCGGCAGCTGGAAGCCGCTAGGGACCCTACCAGTGTACGAATTTTGTGCACTGGGCCTCTAGTTTCTACATAATATGTAAGGCTGTACAAGCAGACACCATAGAAAAAAGGAAAATGAAGAAGGGAAGTGGTTTTATATTTCAAAGAGAAAAATTAAGTTGGTATAGTCTTAAGTTTCTTGGCAAGAGGTGATAAAAAATTTATACACAAGTTTTAATTTTACTTAATACTTCCTTCAATCTAGTAGATAAATTACACAACCACCACCAATTCATTGCATTTGTCCCCTCTCTAAAATGAGGAAAGTTGAAAGGTACACAATACCTGAATTTTCATGGTCATGATTTATTTCCTCCCTCTTTAAAAAAAAAATATTTTTTTAACCTTTTAAATTGTGAAATATACTACACAAACAAAAAGGACAAAAAAGTGAACTCAGTGATTACAAATTGCACATTCACCTGTTAAATATGACTCAGGTCAGGAAACAACACTGCCAGCACCCCAGAATCCCCTCCATGGCTCCTCCCAATCATCACTTCCCCCACCCCAAAGGTAAACACAATCCTGTTTCATGATAGCAATCTCAGTGCTTTTATTTATAGCCTTACCACTCAAAAATGTGATCGGGAATCGAACCATGATCCTGGTTCACAGGTCGACGCTTAAACATTGAGCCATGCCGACTGGCCCAAAAATGCACCTAGATGCTGTAACTTAGTTTTCTGCTTTTTGCACTTTACTATCTAAATGCATTCATATAGGATATGAACGGGTCTGGATTGGGGGGGGGGGGGGGG